GGTGTTTGAGCATCAGCAGTGTCAAAGATAAATTGATAGATATCGCAACTTTTGGTTTCACTGAGGTCTGGATCACCGATGGCAAGTGTGGTTGCAATAACAACAACACTGCGGGCAATGCAGTGCTTTTCGGACTGAGGCAATGTCAAGTTTAACAAGCTTTTTGAGCTCATCACAAATAGTAGTTTGCATAAGAGCAACGGCTGTGTTGCAAGCGTGTTCCACTTTATCGACCTCTGCTTTGCTCTCTTCGAGAAGTCGAGCAGAGGAATGTAGTTGAAACTTGAATTTGGTGGACCGTGGCACATAATCGTCTTGGTTCAGAGTGATTAGGCGATCGTTCAGATTTTTGAGATTCTTCTTGAGTTTGATAAATTCAGCGAAGAGTTCTCGAAAGTAGGTTCGTTGCGATTCTTGGAGCGATCCATTGGCAGTCAGCGCGGCGATGGCAACACATTCAGCAGCTTCGCTAGGTGTGGTAAGCAAAGATGGTTGTGGTGTTTTGTCCGTTGCAAATCGGGCGCGTTTGTTGGTAGAGAGAGTGCCGGTCGCAGTCATTATTGATTGAAAGTAAATCTTGTGAGGGTAAAATAGAATCTAATGATGTTATCCAAGAAAAGGCCGGTCTTGACCGAAGCTATTGAAGAGAAAGTAGCTTTCGCCGAGGCTTCATCAGCGGCAAGACAAGTGGGCAAAAGGCAAGAGTTTTGGACTTTTCGTTGGCGATTCAAAAAGCAAGCAAGCCGGCGTGGTTGTTTCGACGGTGTAGCTATCATCCTCAGTCCTTAAGTGAAGATTTGGTATATTCATGTAGGTGAAACGCAAGGTTCAATTAAGGGAGGCGTCAAATTTGTGCAAACGCCTGTATGGTCGTCAGTTTGGCTCTGTACTTGGCGTATGATCCAAGAGTTCATCTTGGATGGTTGAAACTGTTCGGGCAGTAAGACATTTTGATTCGACATGACGTGGGAAGAGTAAGTTCTTCAAGTTGGGTGGTCTGCTGTATGCAACAATGAGGCGTTCAATGCCATTCCGGTTGCGATTGTGAGGATTCCGTATGTTGTACAGGTAATCTTCAAATTCAGTCTTTGGTACAAGTGGGAGGGGCGTTTGGATGAGGCGGCCTTCCCATGTCACGCGGTTGGTGCTGAGGCGACTTAATTCAAAATTGCACGCTCTGCCAAAGGTCTTTGACCAAGAGATAGGGCGAAGGACTTGTGTATGGAAGGCGTCTTGAATGGTTTTTTGAGATGGGTCACGCGAGTGGAATGGAAGGTGTAGGAAGCAGAGATGGTCCGTTGAACAAGGGGTGACAGGTTCTTTGCGGGGCTTAGAGAACTGTTGAAGGGCTGTCTCAAAGGCAGAGTTAAGGAACTTCAATTTGTAGCCTCTTGCAAAGAGGTGAGAATGAAACTTAGCAAGAGATTGTTTCTTGTCAATGTCTCTGGAAGTGAGTTGCAAAATGCGAAAGATTCCTCCAGTGACAAGCCCAAGTCGCACTGAAGAGGTGTGGGCGGAGTTAGGAGGGATGCAGAGATGGAGGTTCAGTGGTTTTTCATATAGTTTGGTGTTGATATGGGTTAGGTGCGAGTCTCAGCGAGGTGACCTCTGCCGGATCGGCTACCACCAGATTCATTGTCGGTCGGCCGAGTGCTTTCAACTATAATGACGGATTCCTCGGATGCCTCATCCTCATCATCATCATCAGCATCGTCGTCTGTCTTATTGTTAATTTCGCTGTCGTCATCGGTCTCATCTGAATCCCACCCGTCAGGTTGGGCGTACCTGTTAACCAAGCCATTATCTTCGTCACCGATGGAAGCATCTTCTTCCTCGGAATCTTCATACTCCGGATCGAAAATCTTTCTGACACCCTTGTGGATTTCAATTTTGTCAACCGCGTCGTTTGGAAAGACCGCGATGACTTTAGTCTTCATTTCCTGTATGCATCTTACAGGAGTCACCTCGAGAAATTTGTCAAACATCATAGTCCAAGGATGATCTAACATTGTAGCACAGATCAACCAAAATTGTACCAAAGGTGTCTCTTGTTGTAAGCGAGGATTAGAATCGTCACGACAGAAGTACAATTCATCTTGTTGAATTGTCAAATCACCCAGAAGATCGATATCAAAGAAGGAGAAAGGAATTTGTTGGGCGACCTGTAGAGCAATCGTTCTCACTCCCCAGATATATTCCGTGTTCTTGTCGTCATCCTCAAAAATCGAAATCAAAAAGCCCAAAACGCGTTGCCAGTCGTTATCGTATTCGTCAAAAATCATATTGACTCGAACTTCGACCGAGAAATTAGCATAGAAGTCCTGGAAAGGGCTCTCGAACCTGGGAAGGGCTTGAGACCAGCGGGCGTTGTCGTCGTCGATCCATTTCGTAAAAACGTGATTTCCAAACTCGATCTGAGTAGAGTTCTTGTCATAGCCGATAGCGACTAAATCTTGAGTGGAGAGCCCAAAGTCAATCAGTGGGTGCACTGTGTCGATCACTTCTTTAGTTCCCGAATCGTTGGAGATCTTGGGATCTCTGTCTTTAGGTTGACGGAAATCAACAGAGGATGCATTTTCCAATCGTTTCTTTCCGCTCTTTTTGGAGGTAGAACCCGACTTAGATTTTGATCCGCCTGCCTTCTTAGCAGCCGTTGAAACAACCTTCAGAGATGTATACTTTC